TTGTAACAAAAAAACAACAACAAAAATTGTCCTTTGTTCAATAACAAAAATCACTTCACACATTTCTCTTCTCTTTTCTAGAAGAAAACAACGAAATTTAATAAATTAATTTACAATTATACTGTCTTTGTAACACTTTGACTATGATCATGACTGTGTTAATCAAGCACAGTTTTAAAAGTTCTTGCCAAGCTTACAAACATTAATTTAAATAACATCAATAGAAGATAAAATAAATTTACACTGACACCTAATTTTCACATTAGTATTTTATGTAAATTTACACAATATTCTCCTTCAAAATAGTCAAATACATTACACAACAAAAAAACACTTAAATCAGTACAAGCTCTCTCTTGAAAAACAGCGTGAAACCTTTACAGCACAAAGAAATCTCAAATTTTTGCTTGTTTCTCTGGCATGTTTTTTTTTCTGCTCTCTGGCATGTTTTTTTCTGAACTAAATATTGTTTCACATCCAAGCATAGTTTCATTAGGAAACCATTTTCATTAGAAAAATGATTAAATTCTACTTCCTCAAGCACATAATAAAGTTCCATTCCCTCCAAATATCTACTCACTGCCAGAATGTTCATAGAAACTTTCTAGAAGTGTATTTTCAGCATTTCATTTACGCCCTATTCAATCCACTCGGGCAATGTTTTTACTAAATAATCGTTCGAGCGAGTACTTAGAGAGTATATATCGGGAGTACTTATCGTGATCTTGTGAGTCGGAGTCGTCCTTCTCCATGATGTCGGGTCGAATCATGGCCTTCCCTGGCCCACATGTTGGCGGCTTCCAGTCCGGCGAGCCGCAAAAGTGGCCGTTTCAAAACCGGAGCCCTGACACACTGCCTGAGGCTGCCGATCCACAAATCAATCACCATAAAGTTCTTTAGCTCCTGAGTACACTTCCAATGCTAGCTCTCGCTAATCTTCCCCACGTACCGTCTCCTCTGACGTACGTCGTTCCACTCCTTTTTCACTCGTTTCCATCTCCTCTCTTCTCTCTCGCTTCGGGCGGCACGGACACCACCAATTCAAAACGTCACAGAACGTCTATCTATAAGGTATAGTGCTTCTTGCCCTCGCTATTCAAACGCAGCGTTGCCATCTTAATCACAGACAGGCAACGGTTACAATACATAGTATAGAGAATGTTGTGTAATCCTGCGGAAAATCGATTTCGAGATTTCCACGGTAGCACGTTAATACGTTTTGGGATTCCCTGATACCGAAATTTTTTTCAAAACGTCCGTCCGTCCCTCTGGTGTATGTGAATAATATTAGTGCATAAAGTATGCGTACGATTTTTTCCAAACTGAATAAACCCCTGTCTATCTGACCTGAGTCGAAGCTTTGCGATTTTTGAAAAACATTAATTAATTTTTTTTAACATTCTTAACGTTGAAAAGTAACATACTTAACATGAAGCTCTCGGAAAATTTTAATTTCTTATAAAAAAAGAGTAAAATAAAGAGTGATATCAAGATGCCATAGGTTCAGTTTTCACTGATAACTCTACATTTTTGAGAATTGCACGAGACTGGATTTTTTCGGCGACTTCCTACGACTATAAAATAGAAGATATAGAGTTTTCTTTTAAGTAAAATTTTTTATGCATAATTATTTCATACGATTTAGTGTCAGTTGTTTAAAAAATGTATTACTTTTTGCGCAATATTACTTCCAATATGTGCAATATTTAAAAAAGATCAAGAAGATTTTTTCGAAAACGGCTCCAGATTTTTCTGTAAATTTTTAGTATGGATAGTGTTAGGTGTACTCTATAATATGACATCAAGTCTACATTGCACTAATATATTTTTTGACTTGTCACGCACGTCGTTAATATTTACATTAGTGTCGATTTGTTCATATTATTGCATTTATGAACACATGTGCTTTAAATGATGTTATAAAGTCTCTCGAAAACTCAACAGATTTTTGTGAAAATGAGCTCAAATTTCCGCATTTTCAAAAAACACTCAAAAACCTTTTTTTTCAGAAAACGGCTTAAATTTTTTTCTTCTTACTTTTTGTACGGATAATGCTAATTTCACTGTTTAAGATGATATACAATTAATTTTGCTGTATTATTTTGTTTCTTCAAAAATTACACAAATGTTTGTTTTGAATATATTTCATACTATTAATATGCATATTTCCGGCGATTTGTATACTTTGTTGCATTTCATATTGGCTTTCAGTTCTTAATGTTTACTCTATCTTTTGTACTTTCGACCTTATTAAACATGTGACTTCGAAGAAGTAAAAAATGTGTTTTAATTTAAAAGGAATAGTTTAATATATCACAAAAGAGATTTAAAATAATGCTGAAGTACTTAATTTCTTTTATTAATTTTTAAAAATTAATGTAGAAATAACATTAAATTAAGCAATGAGTACTTATAAACTCCTTGGAAGGATTTTGCATTAAAATAATTTTGATAACATAAAACTAGAATTCTGCAAAGAGCTGCATCAAAATAACACCAACAATTTCAACTTATTAAATATCAATTTATTTCATTCATCTGAATAGTGTAAACTTTGAACAGTGAATTATTTTACTACTTCAAACTCAAGGTTCTCCTATGTAAATTTAACTTGCGCGTTCTTGTGTTTTGATGACACGGCTTCGAGCAACACTCTGTACCGTTGCAATTGGCCCTGTAAAGTAATCCGCATTATGCTGAGTGTAGCATACTGAGTAGGGTGAAGTCGCTATGTGTATGTGTGTGAATCGTTACATAGGATAGTAGCGGTGTGCATAGTGCGAGCTGCAGACGAGAGGGAGAGCAAAGAGTAGCCCCAGCTGCAAACGCTATTGAATGCTGAGAGAAGAGGGACGAGTATAATGTATATGATGCTGTGTATGTAAAAGCGTAGCAATTTAGTTGGAGTGAGCGCAGTGCGGGCGAGATCACAGCATTGCGTTGCAGTCGCTACTGGCGTTATTGAAAGTTCGGTGTAGAGAATGTGCTCTCATGTGAGTGAATAATAAAACAATGTAACTGAAATGGGTTTTATGCCATCAACAAGATAATAGAGCAGCAGTTTCTGCTAGCGCTGTGGACTCCTGATGGTCCTATATGAGTTGAGTAGTGTCTCGATGAAATCTGTGTGCAATGTAATCCAGTGAAATGGGCGTGGCTTTGTGCGAAGAAAAGAGCGACAGTTTCCAATTGCAGCGGCTGCTGGTGCTGTCGAGTGTTGAGTGTTGAGTGCTTGCTGTCGAGTGTTGAGTGTTGAGTGCTTGCTGTCGAGTGTTGAGTGTTAAGTGCTTGCTGTCGAGTGTTGAGTGTTAAGTGCTTGCTGTCGAGTGTTGAGTGTTGAGTGCTTGCTGTTGAGTGTTGAGTGCTTGCTGTTGAGTGTTGAGTGCTTGCTGTCGAGTGTTGAGTGCTTGCTGTCGAGTGTTGAGTGCTTGCTGTTGAGTGTTGAGTGCTTGCTGTTGAGTGTTGAGTGCTTGCTGACGCTGTTGAGTGCTTGCTGACGCTGTTGAGTGTTTGTTGAGTGTAGCATGTCGAGTGCTTGCTTTGTCATGTGACCATTGTATGTGCCATGTGTGCAGACTGTCCGCCATCACGGTGTATTTGAAATGGCACTGAGCTGCGCTTGATACGCGGAGCGCTGAGTGTTACGTGCCGAGCAATACGTGTGTAATGTAGTCGAAGTGAGCCTGGCTCTGTGCGCAGACGAGAGTGACGGCATCGAGCTGCAGCTGGTGCGCAGCCTGGCGGACGCGCTGCATCTGCGTCTGCGCGTGGAGGAGCCCGCGGGAGAGGACAAGATCGGCACGTTCAACCGGACGGCTGGGACGTGGCTGAGCGGCATCCTGGGCGCCGTGGCCGGGCGGCGCGCGCACGCCGCCGCCGCCGCGCTCTTCTTCAACAGCGCGCGCCGCGGCGTGTTCGACATGTCCGCGCCCTGGGCGCAGGGCTGCGCCACCTTCCTGGCGCCGCGGCCCGCGCCGGCCTTCAGCGCGCGCACGCTCGCACGGCCCCTGGAGGCCCCCGCGTGGGGCGCGCTCGCCGCCGCCCTCGCCGTTCAGACGGCCGCGCTGGCCGGCACGCGGCGGCTGTGGGCGCGGCTGCCAGGTGCGCTCCCGACCAACGGTTCTGTTCCGATCAATTCCCCGATCAATTCCCCGATCAATTCTCCGACCACTTCTCCGACCACTTCTCCGACCACTTCTCCGACCACTTCTCCGACCACTTCTCCGACCAATTCTCCGACCACTTCTCCGACCAATTCTCCGACCAATTCTCCGACCAATTCTCCGACCAATTCTCCGATTTATTCTCCGATTTATTCTTCGACTTATACCCCCTATTTATACTCCAAGATATACTTCGAATTATACTCCGATTTAAAGGCAGTGGCACTTCAAAGTCACGATTGGAAGATGTGGACATAGTCATCCATTCGGTAACTACGATACATAAAATTTAACTGGTAACAAGGTTCATGATTAGATGACAGTATCCCTCTTCCCGTACAGCTCGTGGCCTCGTGGTACAAATTCCTACAAAATGAATACATTAATTTTGTTTTTGGAAGATGATTTAGGCGCTTGAGCGCGCTGACAAACGGGACCTTTCTGTCCAAAACGGTAGAAAAGGTCTCTTCTGCCCTCTCATTTTGCGACGGACCTCTAATTTCAGTGTATAATGCTTGGAAACAACTATTGTGAACTAATTATTGGTATTTTTAATGATCAACTCTGATATAACAGAAGCATGTGCAAAATTTGTAGGTTTCTTTGCAATTTTGTCTTTGACGTCGACCTTTTTACGAGGTGTTAAATATAAAATTCAGTGCCTCAAAAAACAAAGCACCGTTGAGAAAAAACTTTTTTTCTGGATCGGGCCCTTTTTAGTGTGAAGTGACTGACTACTGCTAGAAACAGAGGATTGACGGTGTACATTTTCGGCGAGCAGGAGCCACGAGGCAAGCGGAGGCGGGGGCGGTGCCTGCGTGGCTGGTGGCGCTGGGGATGCTGCTGCAGACATCGAGCCCGTCTGGTGACCCGCGCCGCCCCGCCGAGCGCCACCTGCTGGCGTGGTGGTCGCTGTTCACGATGCAGGCCGTCACGGCCTACTGCAGCTCCCTCGTCGCCCACCTCACCGCCCCCCACTTCCCGCCGCCCTTCGAAACCATCCAACAGCTGGTGCGTGCAGGCGTCTACTGGGGCTTCTACATCCCGCTGCCGCTGGAGTCCGTCTTAGACTTCGATGTAAGCGCAAATACTGCAGACCACGATTTTCTTTTCTTTTGCCGTGTTGTAACGGTCTGCATTTGCATGCTCGTTGATATAACGGAAGGTGAATCGGGGTGTTGTACCCACGTTTTTGGGCTCAAACCGGATCGAAGTCGGTCACCTTTTCAAACTCCGAGAGCATTGAGTTCATTTAAATCGGTTGAGGATTATCAATTTTGGAGAAAATCAGCTGAACCGTTTAGGCGCTAGCGTTTAACACAGACGGACGGACAGACAGACTTTATGCCATCAATACATTTTTCGGTATCAAGTACCTACGAAACATGGATTCAGTGTAATTTAGTATATATAGGAACAGGATGTATCCACTTTTTCGTTAACAGAGCCCGTCAAAATGAGTTTTTGTGTCAAAAATTCTCCTTTTTGCTGCGCATGATTACAATAATTTCTCTTCTTACGAAGTATCTCTGCGCATGCCCAGCGGCCGGGTCAGGAGGAATTCGCGTCGCGCATGGTTCTGGTGCGTGACGCGGAGGACGTGACGGGGCGGCTGCGGCGCGGGGACTACGCGGTGCCGTCCATGAGCTTCGGCCGCTACGTCTTCGTGGAGCAGCAGCTGCTCCTCCCCGAGGACATGCGACGGCTGCGCATGATCAGCGAGTGCGCCAAATACGACCTGCTCAGCCTCTATCTGCGTCCGCACTCGCCGCTCACGCCCTGGATAAATCGGGTGAGTCGTTTGTGGAGTAAGCGATCAGAATGAGAACGTAGGCTTCCGCGCCCGCAGGAAACAGATTCTTAGCTGTTAGCGAGAGCGGCCTAGGTGCTCTAGTTGTGTTGGGACAGTTAAAATTGGAGCGCGCGCAGCCGAACAGCCCGCTTAACCCTACAGAGGCAACGTTGGGTCTACCAGACTCAGTGTAAAATTCATTTCAACATTCCTTGAAATAGTAACTCCGCACTTAATTGAATTTTCGCCTACCTTTAAAAATAACGATTTTCTTTAATCTCTTAACGATTTCTTTAATTATTTTGAGGAACTTAATAGACGTATATACAACGTATTTTTGGTGTAGGTTTCAGAAAATTCTCTTCAAATTTAATTTAATATAATTTTTTGGGTGAGAATAGATTTTAAAAATTGCTCCTTGCTTTCTTATCTTAAGATTGTTCGCAATGTTCGTGTGAAATCTATAGTTGGAATACCTCGACGTAAATATTTACAACCACGACAAAATGGTCGAAACGTCGGCAACACAGCCTTCGGCGCGGCGTCACCCGGACAGCCCAGATCACGCACATGTTTACCGAACTGTCACTTAAGCTCATTCTTAGGCGGATTCTTTTATATTCGCGCGGCGTGAGCGCAGATGATCGAGCGGCTGGTGGAGGGCGGCGTGCTGGAGCACTGGCAGGCGCACTTGATCCTGCGCGGGCGCGTGTCGGCCGTGCTGGCGGGCTCCGCCGGGGACGCGGCCGCCGCCGCCGAAGCCGCCACCGTCGCCCCGCAGCCGCTGCGCCTGCCCAACCTCGCGCCGGCCTTCATGCTGCTGGTCGCCGGCTGCGCGCTCGCCGCCCTGAGCTGCGCTACAGAGCTAGCGCTTAATTGCCACCGCCGCCTCCGCCAGCCACGCGCAGCTACGCCTGCACAACTTCGTGCTGTTGGCCGCTGGCTGCGCGCTCGCCGCCTGTGCAGCGCTTAATCGCCTCTCTCGGGCTCCTGCCGGGTTGATTGGAAGATGGCGGTGTCACGGTTCCTTTGGATCCTTTTAATGATTTATTATTTATCGTGATGGATTTATAGTTCATTGTTATTGTTCGTGTAGAGCAGTGTAATACCATTATCTTTAAAATAAAATTAAATTGTATTCTGGGATGAACGCCCAGCGACTTTTAAGATGCGTATTGGCATTAAATGACTTGGTAATTATGCCTTAGGCAGCCTCAGGAATGTTTTATGATAACTTGAGGGCCGAAGGTTCTCAACTCGGCTACGCATAGCGAAGCGTCACAATTCCACAGGAATGTGCGTGGCTATAAAATTAATTTCTAGGATGAAAAATACAAACTAAAATTCGCGTTCAGTTCGTATTTCTCAACCCCGTCACGAACTGAACGTTTACGTTATTGAAAACCGACTCCTTACTGGTGAACGACAGTTTTTCCTGTAAAATGACCCGTGACACCGCCAACTTCCGATTCATCCCCAGCCGCTGCGCCTGACCAACATGGGGACGGCTTTCGCTCGACTGCGCGTTGGCTGCGCGCTTGCCGGCTGAGCTGGGCTGTGGAGCTCGTGCTCAACTGCCGCCGCCGCCAACCACGCGCCGCTGCGCCTGCACAACTTCGTGCTTCGGCTACGGATCATGTGCAGATACTTTGTTTACTTGCTGATCATTATTTACAGGTTGTGCCGTCGTGTACGTTTTTTTCTTTTTTAACAGAAAAAGATATACGATGCTTTAACAGTGGTACAGTGACAAGATTATATTTAAGTGCACGATATAAACGGTAAATTAAAGAATACAACACATTACGTAATGATGAAGAAAAATACAATTATATATCGTTATATGTAGTGAACGCTTAATCTGCATCCGTACGTTCGCCATTCATAGTTAGGCCCCTCGCGGGACAACTAGACTGGGTGGACAACTGGACTAAACTGGGTGTCGCTGGACGGGTTTCCATCTCACGGATGTCATCAAATACCTCTACTAATTTTTCTGTCTTGAATGAACATTCCTTGATTAAAAGCAGTCCCATTCTAAATATTTTATTAACTATCCCCTAATCATTATTTTGAGTAGTCTTTTTATGACTACCCTTTCTTCCCTTCTTCCCCCACTCCCTTTCTCTTCATTGGTAGGCTTCTTCTTCTCCCATTCGAAAAGATCGCTGCCACCTAGCTGTAACCAGCATGTTTTGCCATTTTATATTTTTTGACCATTTGTGAACATTCATGGGAGATCCACGTTGCTTGAGCAGTAAGTACTTTCTTTTTGTATTTATATGATATTATTTGTTTTTCCACTACATTCACTGTACCCCCCCCCGTTTTGTGTTCAACTTATGTTTATGTTTCATTTCTCCATTTTGCTAGAGATCCACTGTGGATGGCAAAAGTGTTTCCCGAAAGTTAACTATGGAAAATTATTAATAAAATTATTAAAACTTTTGTGGCGATTATTTCCTTTACCATACTACTAATCAAATACCTCATTCGATTTCTCTCGAATACTTTCTGCGGATTCTTTCAGTGCACCTACTTGCATGTAAAAGATCCTCAAGCCTAAATGACGCCTCTGAGCTGAATTCAAATCGCCTGTTTCGTCGCCCAAGAAATACCTTCTTTCTCCGATAGTTGATGAAAGGAGCGTAGCGAAATTTGCGTGGTTAGACGGAAGAGCGAGCCTGATGGCCCGAGTCTCGCCACGTAAAATAAGGCATTAATTCAATTCGATTAACCTGTGGGTAAATTGGTGTCACTATACTATAATTACTATATATTACTATAATAATAATAATAATAATAATAATAATAATAATAATAATAATAATTAATAGTAACAATATTAAATAATAATTTAAAAATAAAATTGTCTTTATTTCTGTCGATGTTCAGGTCTTAAGACCTACTCTTCCACCTAACTTCTTTAATGAATTTACAATTAAAATAATTACTGTTGGGGCGTTTGGTCATAAGCAATATTAACTGCCTTTTCATGTTGCAGAGGAAAATTCAATTTAAGACTACCATCAACATGAAATTATCTGTGCGAGCCTTAACATACAAGTGAAATTCATTGTCATTTTTTGTTTATTTTTGAAATGTTTACAAAATAGAAAGAACCATGATCCAAGGAACATTCTAAAAATTAACTGAAAGGTAGCTACTACGCTTTTCACTTAAAACCAATAATTCTAATTTAGCCCAAAATATCAAATATTGTCATCGGTTTTACCCGAAGGGCCTCAGCAATGAACAATGAACAAAAGGAGAGTACATTTTACATTTGGCTAGGATACAATGCTAGGGACTAGAGGCATATGCCTTCAGGGATTTTTTAAACCACAAGAAACTGAAACAGGGAGGCAGCTTAAGGGCGAACATTGAAAACAAGATATATCAGAGTGAGAGTGAAATTAAAAGGAAGGGAAGGAAAAACAATAATGGAAGTGGACAAGTCTACACCCTTTCCGACTTTTTCTTAACAGTTAACGACGTAATTCATCTGATTGGCAATAGTTAAAAGTAATTTTTAATTAAACAAAAAGTAAAACAAGACTTTTTCTTGTTACTTTATACTTCGCAGCAGTCTTATTTGAAGGGAGATGCCAGTCACAAGTCCCCGCCTCGAAATTGCACTGAAGATGGCTATAAAGCGAATGAACACGCTTTCAACAAAAATAAAAGCTTACGACAGAACTACGTATTAAATCAATTATTTTTCATGTCACAATCTGTGCCAGAAAATCGCCAAGCTAGGAAACTAATAGGATAAAAATGTATATTAGAATGAAAATACCAACCTGTAAATAAACCTTTCTAACATGAAAATGCCTACCGAAGGCGCCAACTAACATGGTCTTACATTTTAAATGAAAATGCAAATAGGATAATTAAAAGCAACAATAATATTATTGATTACACGACCATATCGAGAGTGATCTTAGAACTTTCGCCACGGTTTCAATTATGACCTTGAAGATTGAAGCTTAAGGGAGTATAAAAAAGTTGAAATGCTTTAAAAGAAAAAAGACCATTGAAATGTGTAAAGACTAATGAATTTGTTTTAAAAAGTCAAACGAATTATTGACGACAACATAACATTTTATTAGATAAGGGTAATTTGAAGTCTTTATAGCGAACAGTGGAAGAAAGGAAAGATGGAGAATGTCCGACATTAATGGCCATGTGTTTGCGAGATAATGTTGAGTGCTGTATTAATGTGTGCCAAGCGAGAAAGTTTTGCTGAGCAGACAATTGTTTTGATATGATGTATTTCAGAAGTTATTTTATATCTTGGTAGCATTGTTGAAGAAGACGGAGAGTCGTAGAGAGGGAGAGTCGTAGAGAGGGAGAGTCGTAGAGAGGGAGAGTCGTAGAGAGGGAGAGTCGTAGAGAGGGAGAGTCGTAGAGAGGGAGAGTCGTAGAGAGGGAGAGTCGTAGAGAGGGAGAGATAGAGATAGAGATAGATAGATATAAATAGATAGATATAGATAGATAGATATAGATAGATAGAGTTAGAAAGGGACTCCACTGCAGGATGTTTATTGTGTCATGCAATTCTGAGTTTTTACGATAATGAAAGCAAGTAAACCTCTTTTCTCTAAAAGCTCTAATGCTTTGAACTCTATCTCGTTATAGTGTATTTTGTTGTAACAAAACAAACAAACAAATAAAAAAACAATTCTGCTCCCAGCTTAAATGGGTTCTATTGACAATCGTTTTCTTTACGTTCCGTTTTATGGTCACTTTTGACACTGTAGGAACAGTTTAATGTAATATAGGTTTACTGCAGAGTTTACAAAAGTGATATTTTTAATACTCAGTTTGCTGACATGTTCATAATTTCAGCAATGTTGGCATACTTGTAGTTTAAATGAAGTATAATTAGATTTTGTGATATTTTATTTATATTATGTGAGTAATAATTTGCATGTACTTTCTAACATATGCAACACTAACCTAATTTCAGATATTTATGTAATTGTTTATTGCTGAATTTTGATTAAGGTACACAAAAAGTAGTTATTTTTAATTGTTGAGAAAATCTAATTAAAGGTTTACAGCATTTTTCTCAAAAGTAGCAAGTTTGCTATGCTATACTTCAAGATTGTACATGGGGTAAGTATTCCAGTCTTCAATTTCTTTATAATTATTAGTACTTTAAGTAATAACTAGTGGCCTACAGAATACGAAAACTGCTAAACAAAAACAATTTATTTATTTATTTACGTCAAAATTAGTTAAAAACTGTTAATGACGTGCTATGGGGAGAAGATAATTTGAAGTTTCATTTATGGATTTTTAAACCGTAGCACGCACAATTCTCAACAATAACAAATAAAATACTCACATGGGACACTACAATGAATG